GCATCAGAAATGCTGGATCTGGGGACTGCAGAGACAGCCAGGAGTGCAGGAAAAGGCGAAAATGTGGATTGTCCAGGGGATGCAGCTCGTCACTGCTGCTGGGGTTGGTGCTTGGGCACCTCTGGGTCATCCTGATCTGCTGTGGCAGAGGTGATGCTGAAGGAGCAGGGTTCCTCCACACCCCATAACGATGCCCTCTCCAGCTCCTCCTTCTGTCCTGAGGATGTTTATCACAAGTTTATCATCATTTACGTTTTGGGTATCAAAGGGAGAAAGGGGAAAAGTGCATGCTATCAAGGAACAGGCAAAGACAACCGGTGCAAGCCAGAAAACATATGCCAAAAATGCTTTCACTGCTATCTCTTCAGCAGCTACTGACACCAGGAAGCCTTCCCCTGTTATCTGTGGAGGACGAAGTTGCAGAAACGCCTGCCAGAAGTGCTGTGTGACTGCAGCATGTGCAGGAACAGCCCGTTCCCCTTCCGAGAGAAACTCCAGGGCTTTCTTCGGAGCTCACATCTTCAAAGTGCTCTGAACCCTGCTTGTCCACTAACAAGGAGTCAAGGGCATGGCAAAGCCTTGGCAAAGCCTGGCCATTTAGAGGACACCCAGCTAGCTGCCAGGAGGCACAAGGTGGTCTGGAGGGAAGGAGCACAGAGGTGTCCTGATGAGGACTGGCAGGGAAACCAGGCATAACCAGCTGTTCCTTGTGTCCAAAGCTGACCAAGATGGATTTTTCCCCTGTGGTCAGATAATGCTGCTTCCACAGGATCCTCTCAATTTGCCTGTTTTTCACATTTCCCAGGACCCTGATGCCTGCTGATGGTCTGACACAAACAGCCTGACGTGTGTGCAGCCCTGGGTGGGTGGTCAGCAGGGCTGGGCTCTTCCCACTGCTGGCGTGCAGGGATGAACAAACAGGCACCAACAGGGCTCCTGGGACTGGGCTACAAGACATCATCATCCTGTATGTGGGAAAAGGGGTCTGCAGTGCCAACTTATCTGCCTTTTGGGGCCTTAGGGCAATGGGAGGTGTGCCAGGGTGGTGGTGCCTTCACCAGGGATGGATAAGGTGGCACTGGGACTTCTGAGTGCAGGCAGTGAGATGGCATGAAAAAAACACTCTGAAATTCTTTTTTCTTCTTCTTTTTAATAAATCAGGCCATTTATATGCTGGTATATTTAGCAAGAGTGTGATATAGTGCTTCCATGTGAGGGTGCAGGCTGGCGGTTAGTTATTACAAATTAAACACCAGCAGCTCCTTAGATAAGATAAGCAACACGGGAGTGGATGGCAGCAGCTCAAGGAAAGGGGTAAGAAAAAGTGGAGAAAAATGAGGGAGTGGAAGCACAGGAAAAGAAAAATGAGAAAAGAGCAAAAACATTTGAAATTTGCCAAATGTGATAAATGTTGTGAAGATTTTTTTATTTTTTTTTTTGAAGCAGGAAATGTTCCTTTTCAACATAGGTGGGACTGAAACACAGATGACTGAATTCCTGTTACAGATTTCTGTTCCTTTCTCCCTGCTGGAGAAAGATTAATTTGGGAGCAAAAGGATATTTCTATCTTGTTTCTTTTGTTTATCTGCACCCGCTATCGCTGTGTGCACGGTTGGTTTCCACCAGGCTGTCAGACACTTGGGCTCTCATCCAGCAAATACTTAAGCCCACGTGTAACATCCCGGCCGGCGTAAGGTTATCCATGTGCTTGGATGACTTTGGGTCAGGATCTTAATGTCTCTGCTGCTCAGATGTGACTTCCACACAGCAAGGAGGAGACGCGAAAGAGCCAGACAATTAGAAATGTTATTGTGAGACCACGGAGATCCTGGCAAGAGGGCTCAGGGGGTAATTCGCTACCTGAAATATTACTTGGACACTAGGGAAAAGAAAAAAAAAAAAAAGACAAAAAAAACAGGCACATCAATTATTCTCCAGAAAGTGCTGTTTTGGGGTATTGGAAGCAATCAGCAAATTCAGTCCAAATGAGCCAGGTTAGGTTAAAACATGGAAATGGGAGCGCGGTGAGCAGTGGGGCTGAGAGCAGAGGGGCCGTGCATCCTGGGAGGCACCCTGCTCTTTGCTGAAGCCCCACTGCAAACAGAGACCTTTGTCTCCAAATAGCCTTGCTTGTTTTAAAAACGTTCAAAATGCCTTCTTTGATCCAAAGTGATTTTTTTTTTTCCCCCAGCAAGTTGCCAAGTAATGCGTTCGTCTTCGATCCAAATGGCTTTTCCTTGGTTTCTTTCAGTTTGGCCCTCAAATGAGAAAAAGAAAAAAAAAAGAAAAAAAAAAAAAGAAAAGAAAAGAAAATGAAAAAATGAAAAGAAAAAAAAAAAAAAAAGCAAGTGCACACAGCTCAAACACATCAGTTAGTGGGAAGCATCCGCATTCGGCAGCAGAGTCAGTCTTCTGGCTGGTCCCTTAGGAGGTGCTGACGGCAATTACGAGATGATGGGGAGTTTATCCAGCGAGGAGTATTTCGGTTTTCATCCTCTCTCTCACGTTTTTGAACTTGTCTCCCGGTGCTTCAGTGCCCACCAGGTGGGATCCCTGCCCCTGCTGCTGCCCAGAGGCCACTTCAGCTCCTCTCGCTCCCCTGGCTGTGACCAAAGATGTCTTGTGGTGCACCAGGAGCCCTGAGCATCACACCCCCGAGGTGTTTGTAGGGGAAGGGATGCTCACTGCCCATGTACATCTCCAGCCTGGTGGCATCTCCCACTGCAAGCCTGGGGAGTCCCTAAAACTGCTGCAGGATGCTGCAGGGGAGCCCAGGGCTGCTGCTCCTGGACGGGGAATCGCTCAGCCCCTGGGAGCAGGAATAGCCCCACTGAAGAGCCCAGGCACATACACGGAGAGCACGGGGTTTTCTTACAGCGCTGCATTCCTGGGAAACCATCTTCCACCTGATTTGGCTTGAACAATAATTCTTTCTCTGGGCCACCTTCGGTGAATGGGGTGGGCCGAGCCGCTTGTGCTCATTGTTTTGCTCTCAGCACCCCCTTTGCCTGCGATGCCGCGTCAGCTGCATGACAACCAAAATGTCTTTTCCTGCGGGTTGTTTTTTCCACCCGTTTTTTTCTACAAGCGCAGAAGTCAACACGGCAACATTTTGCTGAGCCCTGTTTCCGTCTCTTTTTTATCTGTACTTCTGATGCCAATGGAAACATTACCCCTCTCTCAAACTGCAAACTGCAGCCACCAGCAAAACACATCGGCTTTTTTTTTTTTTTAATGGAGTACATTAAAATCATGTCTACTTTCTTCTTTTTTTTTTCCCCCTCTTCTATTTTAAAAAGCAGTAGATGTCATGGATATTGGGAGGGAAGATTTCAGCACAAAGCACTTTTCTGAGCATCGTTTGTGGAAGAGAAAAGTCGAGTGGATTCCCAGCTGCCAAAGTGATGGGGATCCTTTCTGGGGGCAAGGTTGCCTCGCTGGCTGATACCGGGGCAGATTGAGCCTTCTGTGGGTTCAAAGACCAAGCCAGATAGTATTTCTGCTCGCTGTGTGTATTCCGGTTTATGGGCAAACAAATGTTATCTATTGTTAGCTCTGCAGAGCCAGAACAAGAGCGGGATGGAGAGCTGGACCCGGTCCCACTCTGCAGTGCTGTAACCGAGCGTAAGTTATTGCATATGTCTGGAAGCGAGCCTGCTCGGGGTGTTTTAGATAGATACAGACACAGATATAGATACAGATACAGATTATAGATAGCGATGTGTGTGCTGTGATCATGGCACTCATTACTGTGCTTATTGAGGCTCCAGCAGCCTGTCCTTCATGCTGAAAGTGAGGGAGGGAAGGTCCAGGATGCAGGACGGACACATCTCCTGCGCCAGGGTGAGAAGCACGGGCCCAGGTGGATGAGACACATTTGCTCCTCCGAGGGCTTCAGCGCTTAAATATCTTTTTACGCGTTTTTCTAACCAGTGCCAGCATCTCGCTGCTTTCTGCTCACTTGGCTGACTGACACTACAAAAGAGACAGATTTGGCACCGGGGGTTTTATCATGGAAAAGTGAAGCTAAGTCAGGGGATAGCCACTTTTCTGCCACGTTCAGCTGCATTTTGGAGCCTTCAAGGGATGAATTCTGCTGCTTTCATCTCTGGATGGTGCCTTCCCCCAGCCTTAGCAAAACACCTTATAAAATGCAGAGGTTTATAGCATCTGCTTTTGCGAAAAGGACTTTTAAAGGAGTTAAAGACTTTAAATTCTCCCCCATGTGCACACATCTCTGCCCCAGCAGCAGTTTTGGCAGTAGCACACCATGCGGTGCCTGAGTGATCTCTTTCTAAACTGAGATCCCAAACTTTTCTGTTGTGTTTTACAAACATTGCCATTAAACGGAGAAATATATCTGTGTGTTGTTATGGGACGGCTTTATTGGTCGGTGTTGACACGCAGCTCCAGCCCTCTGTGGTGGATTAACACATGTGGTTATATGCAACACATGTAGCATGCGCCGGGCTTTTAAAAACCCATCACATTATCCTTGTTCTGCTAAACTGTCACAGGCTTTGCAGCCAACCGTGAATCTTTTCTGTTTTAAGGCAGGGTTTTGAGGCAGCTGGGGCTGCCTTGATGTATTGCCACCACTCCCTGTGCCCTCTTCGCTCCGAGGAGAGGTACGAGCGGCGAGGCGGCGGAAAGATGCGCACCGCGTTTCACTCTGCCTGTCCATCCTTCCAGGCAGCCCACGTATTTTCAAAGCATTTTCCAGTTATTTGGGGGCTAGGTGAAGGTTGGGGAGGTATCTGGGGCCAGGTGGAGCTGGGAGCTGCTTTGTCCACGTCTCGGGATGTCCCGGTGGCCGCGCATCACCAAGGCACCCCATATGCGGATGCCCCATCGCGTGGGTGCACCAGGCAGAAAACTTTTGTGGCTTGTTTGGTTTTTTTTCTTTTTTTCTTTTTTTCTTTTTTTCTGCTGCATGTGGGGATGCAGGAGGAAGAGGAAGAGGGAGGTGCATTTTCTAGCGGGGACACGTTCCCCATCGGTGCAGTACGGGGCCGAGCCCCGTCCGGCCGAGCCGCGGGAGCCCCGGGTGCTCGGGCCGCCCGTGCTGGTTGGGATGCGCGCCCCGTGTGACAGATGACCTATTGAAATAATTTCGGAGCAGTGCTGGGGTTGCCACGACAACCAATGCTCTCTTGGCTTTCATCTGGCCATGTGACAGCCACTTTGACGTCAGCTGGAGGCAGAGCCTGTGGTTTCGGCCGCGCAGCCAAAGCCTTGTGAGAACCTAGTGGATGCTGGATTTATCCCCGCCGCCGCCGCCGCCGCTGCTGCTGTTTCTCAGGGGCTGCCAGAGCATGGACTATTAAAAACTTGCATTTCTGCAGTGTGAGGTAACCCTTTGCTTTATGTTCTCCTCAGGTATTTCCCCCTCCTCCTTTTATTTGTCCTTTAAAAAAAAAAAAAGAAAAAAAGAAAGGGGGATAAAAAGCAGTTTATCGTGACCGGTATTTCTTTCACTTGTTTGTTTTGGCTGGAAGTTTGCCTTGATGAACAAGCCCGGCGCTATCAGATAAATGCAAAGCAGCTTCCAGTTGCTAATTCTGCGTGCAGACGGCTGAGCAGAGTTAAATTTAGATTAATGATCCGTGAAAGCGGAATAAAATGATATTGTTCTCGTGTGACACCCTAGGAATATAGATGAACGCGAGTAATCCCAGGCTAACCCATCCGGGGGTCCAAAGAAATATTCCCTGGCTGTGTTGCTGCTCTGAGCATCTACCCAGCCCTGTACCTCTGCTGGAACTTGGGTTATTTTTTTTTTTAACGCTGCCCAATCCGGGCGGTTTTGTCCCCAGCGTGCGCAGGCAGCGGAAAGCCCGCGACAGATGCTGCTGGGAGCAGCTCCCCGAGTTGGCGGCCGTAAACCAGCTTTGTTCAGGGACACGGCTCGTGCTGCCTGTCCTGGCGGGAGGGACGGATGGGGAGCTTCCTGAAAAGCCACCCGCAGTATGCCAGGAGGACCAGCAGCTTCGGCGTTTGACCCTTTCTCTCCCAAGCACAGCTTTCCTCCCGTCCGTATTTATTCTGCTGGGGGTGCAGCGTGGTTAGCAGGGCTAAAAAAGGAGCTGCAGGCTGAGCAGCACCATGGCGATTGAAGAACAAAATGCTGTTTGGGTGTTTTCTTATAAAAAGGGAGCTCGGCTGCCTGTTACAGTGGCTCAGAGGAGGCTGCTCTGGAGCAGGAGGTTGCAGGGTTGCTGAAGTTGGGTGCCGCAGACGGAGTTTGTCTGCCTGTGACCATCTCTGTGCTCGCCTTGAGAACAGGCTGCCGACGAAGCCTCGTGTGCGTTATTTCCTGGAAAAGTACGTTAGACCGTTCTTATCTTCGCTAATTAAATACTCCTGTTCCCTTCCTCCCAAAGTTCAAAGGGTTTATTGATAATGGTAATGATTTGCTAAGGCAGCTGCCACTCCGAAATGACGACGGAGCTGCCAATTTAAAATACGGTGCAATAAAAGATGAAAAAGGGAAAAAAAGTGTACGAATTATCCTGATGTCACTAAGTGCAGCAGAAGTAAGGGATTCGGAAAGGGAGCCAAGGCGGAGATTAAAACTTAAGGCACTTCTGTAAGGAAAGTTATGGCTTAGTGCTCTGGGTTTGGCATTCCTAGCAGACCCGCAGGGATAAATGCAGCTCAAAGCCCTGAACCGTCTCACTTGGCGTTATCTGCTCTTGCCAATGTAACTCGTGTGTCCGAGTGATCAACGTTTTGGAGACTGAAGTGTTTTGAATCGCGTTTATTAAATTCTTGAGAAATCCCCACTCGCTCCTCATAGGTGCAGCTGACAGCATCCCGTGCCCGCCTTCCCTCCGGGCTGCCCTTATTTCACCGTGATCATGGTCTGTGCCCTCTGCCAGCATGCAGGCACCCCAAAAACATCCAGAGGGTTTGTCCTGCCTGCCTCCATCCCCTCTGGGGGGCTCTGGGCACCCCACTGTCCCCTAGGAGCCTGGGGACAGGGTGGCCGTGACGGCCAGCAAGGCAGCTCACAGGTGCTGGAGGCTGCAATGCGTGGGGACAGCACAGGAAGGGAAGTGAGAGTGGCTTTGGGTCCGTGCACTTCTTTCTGCTGATTTTGTGCTCTGGTTTTGTTGGTCAGCTCTGTACCAATCTCTTTCACCAAACGCTTGGGTTTTACCGTGGTAGCGTGTGGATTTCCAAGGAAGCAGAGCGCTAAACCCCGGTGTTGGAGCACTTCACCTAGGGGAAACCTTGCCTGAAAACCAGGCTGAGAGCTCCTGGAGTCACTGCTCACAACTGGATGCAGCCGGGGAAATTAAAAACAGGCTCAAGCTGTTGATGCCTCCAGCCCAGTAATAACAACACGCTCAGGCCCTCGGTGTGCTCTACCTTGATCTGGTTGAGTTGATGGGCAATGACAACCTAAATTTAGGCTGGGAGCATAATAAAACCTTAAAAAAAATCTAAAAAAACAAAAAACACACCACTTGCAGCACAGATCACTGACTCCTTCTCGCATTTCTCAGACTGAGGAGGTTTCTGCTGTCATCTTAAAGGCCCCAGATGCTACTCAAGGCGGTGTTTTGGGGGGGAATAAAATCCCCCCTGTGGGGAGAATTGTCAAACAGCGGGAACTGCTGTAGCTGTATTGAGTTTCAGGCTCTTAAATGACGTGCTGCAGAAGTTGGTTTCCACCCTGCTCAGAACCATTACGTTGTGCTAATTTAATGTCCCGCCTCGACTCGAGCAACAACTGGTTTAAATGATGGCTGAGCGGCAGCAGAGGGCTGGCGCTGCAATCAGCAGTCGCTGTCGCAATGAAACCCAGATGCCAGGCGTGTGGTGCTCCGAGTGCAGGATAGAAGTTGACCCCATGGCTGGTCCCAAGCTCAAGCGCAGGAATCCTCGCTCTGGGACGTGTTGGTGGCCATCTCTTGGAAATAACCTTCCCTGGCGAGCCAACACGCAGACAGCTCCAGTCAGATAGCAGCTTGAAAAATAGACTCCGTTTTGGCTGCTCTCTCGCTGCTGTTAAATTTGTCTTCTTAAATGGCAGGGAGGATGAGCTGGGGTTGGAGAAACAGTAATTTCGTAATTATTTTACATGGATCGAATTATTCTGTCATCAAATCTGCATTTCAGACAGCATTACAGTACAGAAATATAATTAGAAACTGTAATTCAGGAATTGCTGAACGCGGTATTTCCCAGAGGGAGCGCCGCGAAGAAGAAGCTGCCCTTCGTAGGGCTCCGCCAAACGCTGAGCTCCTGAAGGTGCAAAGCGTGGAGTTGCGAAGTTCCTCTCCGTCCTGTGACCACCCTGCGGCCTCAACACGCTGTTGACTTTCTAATGAACTTCTTTTTTTTTTCTTTTTTTTTTTTTTTGTAAGATTCATTTCCACAGAAACTTCTAATCATTAAGAGCTGAAGTGTTCAGATCCTGTTCTGCTGAATTTCGGTCTGGCTGCGCTGATAGCTGCCGAACTGCTTGCAGCCACAAAATGACACGAAGATAATGTAAGGATCTGTTTTACGCCCAGAAAAGCCAAGAAGCTCACACTTGGGGCTGAAATGCTGCTTGGAATTTGCCCAAAGCCTGAAATTCTCAGCAATGCTCCCTCTCGTTGGGGTTTGGCTTAGCTCTGTTTCTCCCCTTTCGTTAACTCAAGGTGTTTTGCTGCTCTCGTTCACAGCGTTGTACAAAGTTTTAGCTGCATAAATCTCACTGATGTCAATCCTTAAGCTTTTATTATAATGCTGATGATGATCTCTGGCTTATCATAGATATCTTGGCTGGAAACGAGCGCAACCTCCTTGTAGTTGGGCTCATGGCGAGAAACCCCTTCCTATTTTCCTGGAAACACGCGCTCCGAGGGAGAGCACCACCCCTGGCAAGTTCTTCCCACCACCTTGCTGGGACATCAGACAAGGCAGCGTGAGGAGCAGAGCTCGTGATGCACAAAGCACAGCTGAGAGGAGGCAGAAGCTGAGTGTGAGGCTTGTTCAGTGGTTCCCTCTCCCCAGATGTCCTTCAGGGTCCTGCTAAGGGGGGTCCCCGTGGCCCCTTTTCCCGTGCCAAGGGCCACCTTCTGCACCCAACCCACCCGACCGTGCTGCAGGGGCAGGCGTTGCCCCATCGCTTGCATTTTGGGTGTGAAGTACCAGCATCACAGCACCAGCACAGACAATCTGGGAAGGCAGTTTTGTGAGGAAGGATGAAATAAGGCAGATTTGCTCTTCCTGGACTGCCCTGCGGCAGGAGGGACGGGGAAAGCATCACGGCCAGCTTCTCTCCTTGCTGACGGTCCCAAATTACCAAAGCACAAGGGATGCAGCCCGTCTAAGTGCCCAATTTCACCCGGGGAGGCTGCAGCCATCCTGCCCTGAGCACTTGTAGCTCCATCAGAGAGCTCTGCTCCCGCTGCGCAAACGCTCCTCGCGGCAAACCCCAGATGCCAGGGGGAGGCGAGCACAAAGCTGCTGATTATTCCCCCGACTGCTGCATGCTTCCTATCACAACACTATTCTTTTGTGCAGAATGGCAGCCTGATTGCACAGCCCTCTCTAACTTTACCATTTTAGCCAGCCCAGGTCCAATTAGAGCAATTATATCTCAGCAGAAACACTGCCTGTTGTCCTCTGGACCTGCCCGTCAATGTCCTATTCAGGGCTGTTTGTCTTGTGCGGGGTTTTTCAGATAGAATCGCTCTGACCCTACTAAAGCAGCCTGCATTTCTGTAGAGTTGTTTCACGGGCTCGCGTGAACAGGGGGAGTGCAGACTTGCAACACCAAGGATGCATCTTCCAATCCTAACCGCGGTGTTTGAACACTGATTCGATGTGGGGCTCTTCACTTTCTCTGATTTTACTGGTTAAAATGGATCGCAGGATCAGAATTTAAGCTCTTCCTTGCTGTGTTGGATGGTTTCTTTGATAAAAAGCCCCAATCTGAGCTTCAAGTAGTGTTTGATGGCACATGCTGTTAGACCCCACACGGTTCAGAAGCCTGTGTGGGACCATTTGGTGATTTGGGAGCGCAGGTACTGCTGCAGAAATCCCATCTGCATGCTCTTACCTCTACTGTAAAGGCTCAGTGAAGGAGCTGAGGGACTCCTGCAAAGGAGGTCTTGCTCGCCACCTCTAAAATAGGAGAAGAGAAGCGGAGCCATGTGAAAGCAGAAGCCCTGGGACTTAGGAATGTCAGAGGTGGTGGAAAGAGGAACCGATCTCCTGAACAAACAGCCTTTTATTTTCTCCTACTTCCCCTGGAATGGGAGATTTAGGGCACAGGTTTTTCATGCGTTCAGAGTTTTCTTCCCAAAACGACTTTAGCTCTTCTTTGAGAATTGAGAAATGAGGAGCTGAA